CACCCCTCTCTGGGCCTCTGTTAATTGACTCACATCTTTCCGAGCCGCCTTGATCTTAGCCTCCCTCCGCCTATTCCAAATATATATATATATATATATATATATATATATATATATATATATATTTATCTCACCTTACCTCTCTGAACTAATCAACCCCTACACACTAGCTCAGTGTCTCTGGTCAGTGTGCCAGACGGAACTGAGCAGAGTCTCAGAGGAGATCGAGACTTTTCTGTTGCAGGTTCCTCCCTTTGGATTTAATTGTCAGGTAACCCTCCACTCCATCTATTTTCAAAACGTGACTCACAACACAATTGTGTTCTTTGGCTTTTAGCTCATCTTGAGACTGCATTGTCCTCAATCAACTCAACTGTTATTGTTGAGCACTTTCAAACAGCCATCGCTGCATACAAAGTGCTGTGCATGGAGCAACTAACATATACAACAGTAAAGCAACAAATCAATAACAAAGACGATAGAAAGCACCAAACAGCAAAACCAAGATCAAATCTGAGTCATGCTGAGTCACATACAATACAAGTGAGTTTTGTGGCGGGTTTTAAAGATGGGCAGCGAGAGGGCTTGCCGAATGTTCAGTGGGAGGTCATTCCAGAGAGCGGGACCAGCAACAGAAAAGGCTCGATCCCCTCTGAGCATCCGTTCTTGGAACTTCTAATCATGTCTGGTCCGCAGACCTCTGAGGCGCCGGGTAGGTGTGTAAGGGGTGGATGAGCTCAGAGAGGTAAGGTGGGGCGAGGGCATTTAGAGATTTGAAAAAAAATTAATAGGATCTTGAAAAGAATTCCAAAATTTATAGGGAGACAGTGAAGGGATACCAGAGTAGGAGTTATGTGCTCCCTCTTACGAGTACCAGTCAAGAGGCGAGCAGCAGCATTCTGGACCAGGTGGAGATGCTGAATGGAGTATTGGCTGATTCCAAAGTAAAGTGCATTGCAGTAATTGAGCCGGGATGTGACGAAGGCATGAATTACTGTTTTAAGGTGCTCATGAGAAAGGAGAGGTTTTATTTTAGCCAGCTTCTAAGATGAAAGAAGCTGGATTCAACAATGGCACCAATTTGCCGGTCAAGTTTAAAATCACTGTCCAGTTTAAGACCCAAGTTTGAGACTGTTGACTTAAGATAAAGAGACAGGGGGCCCAAGTCTACAGGATGGGATGTACAAGGGCCACTGGGACCAAACAGTTTCACCTCTGTCTTCTTTTCATTGAAATTCAAGAAATTTTGTGCCATCCAGGTTTTGATTTGTCCAAACTCGGTCCTCAAGGGCCACTGTCCTGCCCATTTTCATTCACTCCCTGCTGCAACACACCTGATTCAAATGATTGAGATTATTATCAAGTTTTTCCAGAGCTTGTTGATGAGCTGATCATTTGAATCAGGTGTATTGCAGCAGGGAGCAATGGAAAACAGGCAGACCATTGGTCCTTGAGGAATGGAGCTGGACATGTCCGTCTTGTCTTACTTTTATGGTGTATGCTGTATTTTGTATGATTGATTTATTCCCCCTCCCCCCACCCCCCTGCCTTTGTTACTGTATGAACATTTTTTGGACTGCATGTAAAGCACTTTGTAGGCAAGAAGTGTTGTTTACTAATGCTCTATAAATAAAGTTGAGTTGAGTTCGGTAAGTGGAAGATGTATATGTGGATGGTGATTATTATTCTATTCATAAGGCAGCAGGCGGTTGCAATTTGATGCCATACCCACCAAGCATGATCGTGTCTCTGAACATGAAGGATAGAATAACTGAGTTGAGGTCACATTGAAGCAACTAAGTCGTGAAGAAGAAAAAACATCTTTATTATATGAATTGAATGCAGGTGGCATGGATGGGAATCTTGCAATTATGCATCAACAACCACACGATGGTCATTATGATTAGGGCAAAATGCTTAAGGACAAGATTTCTTTTGGAATAAGAACAACTCACTTTCTATGGTCTCGGCTTGGCATGCACAGGTTGCCCAGGCGGTGGACTGGATGTTGCTAGTCTAGGTGGGAGTGTTTCTAGCCAATAACAGGTTGTCTGGGTGAGCAAGGTGGTGGTTTAGGTGGGCCGTTTTCATCCCAAATAACTGGGTGGTGATCCAGGTTTGAAAGATTATGTTCCAGAATATTTTTTGCATCCGGAGGAAGAGATGGTCCAGTGGGTGGTCCAGATTGCAGTGTGCTGGTCCACATCGGAAGCGTTGGGGGGCAGTTTGACAATTTGGTGTTCCCGTGGGTATTTTTTATCCAGAACAACAGGGGGCTGTACTGGTGGCTGCTATTTGCCGGGGTGGCTAATTATGATATGAAATAAAATGTGGTGATAGAGATGGTAGAGCCTGGCAAGATGGTGGGTGGGTCATTTTTATCCATAGTAACAAGTAGCCCAGGTGACCCAGGTTGTTAAGATGATGGGTCATAAAATGCTGGATCAGGTGGTGGTGGCAATGGCCCAGGCAGTGAATATGGTGATGACCCAGGTGGCTAAGATGGTGGTGGCTAATATGGTGGTGGCCCAGGTGGCCAAGGTACTGGTTGCATAGGTGGCCAAGGTGCTTGTGGCCTAGGTGGCCAAGGTGCTGGTTGCAGAGGTGACCAAGGTGCTGGTGGCCAAGGTCGTCGTAGCCCATGTAGCCAAAAAGGCCAATATGGATATCTTAGTGGTGGCCAGGGAGGACCTGGTGGTCCAGGTGGACTAGATCGTCCTGGTAGTCCAGGTGGCCAATGTGGTAATGGCCCAGGTGGCCAAGGTACTTGTGGGCTAGGCGGCCAAGGTAGTTGTAGCCCTTTTGGCCAAAAAGGCCAATATGGATACTGTAGTGGTGGCCCGGGAGGAGCTGGTGGTACTGTTGGTCCTGGTAGTCCAGGTGGCCAATGTGGTAGTGGCAAAGGTGACCAAGGTGCTGGTCGCCTAGGTGGCCAAGGTGCTGGTGGCCAAGGCAGTCGGAGCCCTTTTGGCCAAAAAGGCCAATATGGTTATTGTAGGGGGGGCCCGGGAGGTCCTGGGAGTACAGGTGGCCAAGGGGCTGGTGGCCAAGGCAGTCGGAGCCCTTTTGGCCAAAAAGGCCAATATGGTTATTGTAGGGGGGGCCCGGGAGGTCCTGGGAGTACAGGTGGCCAAGGGGCTGGTGGCCAAGGCAGTCGGAGCCCTTTTGGCCAAAAAGGCCAATATGGTTATTGTAGGGGGGGCCCGGGAGGTCCTGGGAGTACAGGTGGCCAAGGGGCTGGTGGCCAAGGCAGTCGGAGCCCTTTTGGCCAAAAAGGCCAATATGGTTATTGTAGGGGGGGCCCGGGAGGTCCTGGGAGTACAGGTGGCCAAGGGGCTGGTGGCCAAGGCAGTCGGAGCCCTTTTGGCCAAAAAGGCCAATATGGTTATTGTAGGGGGGGCCCGGGAGGTCCTGGGAGTACAGGTGGCCAAGGGGCTGGTGGCCAAGGCAGTCGGAGCCCTTTTGGCCAAAAAGGCCAATATGGTTATTGTAGGGGGGGCCCGGGAGGTCCTGGGAGTACAGGTGGCCAAGGGGCTGGTGGCCAAGGCAGTCGGAGCCCTTTTGGCCAAAAAGGCCAATATGGTTATTGTAGGGGGGGCCCGGGAGGTCCTGGGAGTACAGGTGGCCAAGGGGCTGGTGGCCAAGGCAGTCGGAGCCCTTTTGGCCAAAAAGGCCAATATGGTTATTGTAGGGGGGGCCCGGGAGGTCCTGGGAGTACAGGTGGCCAAGGGGCTGGTGGCCAAGGCAGTCGGAGCCCTTTTGGCCAAAAAGGCCAATATGGTTATTGTAGGGGGGGCCCGGGAGGTCCTGGGAGTACAGGTGGCCAAGGGGCTGGTGGCCAAGGCAGTCGGAGCCCTTTTGGCCAAAAAGGCCAATATGGTTATTGTAGGGGGGGCCCGGGAGGTCCTGGGAGTACAGGTGGCCAAGGGGCTGGTGGCCAAGGCAGTCGGAGCCCTTTTGGCCAAAAAGGCCAATATGGTTATTGTAGGGGGGGCCCGGGAGGTCCTGGGAGTACAGGTGGCCAAGGGGCTGGTGGCCAAGGCAGTCGGAGCCCTTTTGGCCAAAAAGGCCAATATGGTTATTGTAGGGGGGGCCCGGGAGGTCCTGGGAGTACAGGTGGCCAAGGGGCTGGTGGCCAAGGCAGTCGGAGCCCTTTTGGCCAAAAAGGCCAATATGGTTATTGTAGGGGGGGCCCGGGAGGTCCTGGGAGTACAGGTGGCCAAGGGGCTGGTGGCCAAGGCAGTCGGAGCCCTTTTGGCCAAAAAGGCCAATATGGATATTGTAGTGGTGGCCTGATAGGTCCTGGTAGTACAGGTGGCCAAGGTGCTGATTTCCCAGGTGGCCAAGGTGCTGGTTGCATAGGTGGCCAAGGTGCTGGTGGCCAAGGTGGCCAAGGTGCTGGTTGCATAGGTGGCCAAGGTGCTGGTGGCCAAGGTGGTCGGAGCCCGGGTGGCCAAAAAGGCCAATATGGATATTGTTGTGGTGGCCCGGGAGGACCTGGTGGTCCAGGTGGTCCAGATGGTCCTGCTGGTCCAGGTGGTCCTGCTGGTCCAGCTGGTCCAGGTGGTCCTGGTGGCCCATCTTTTCCAGGTGGTCCTGGTGGCCCATCTAGTCCAGGCCGACCCGGTGGCCCATTTGGCCCTGGGGGACCATCTGGTCCAGGCGGTCCTGGTGGACCATTAGAGCCTTGCTCACCATCTGGTCCAGGTGGACCTGGTGGACCTTGTGACCCTGGTGGACCCTGTGGTCCTGGTGGTCCTTGTGGACCCTCTGGTCCTGGTGGCCCTGGTGGCCCTGGTGGCCCAATAATAGGTGGGAAAAATGTAAACCCAGGTGGTCCTGAAGGTGGACCAGGTGGTCCTGAAGGTGGACCTTGTGGTGACCTACATGGGAATGGATGTTACTCAGATTGAACACTGTCATCTGGAAAAACATCTGTATCGGCTGGCACGTTACCTCTTTATCTTCGAAGAAAGACAGCTGTTTCCTGTGGAAAAGATTTTACATCTTTGTTACATGGTGACCTTTCACTTACTCTTTGTTACTTGGTATTTGAGAGTTTGATGACTTACCGAACAGCACAAGGGCAACAGCGAACACCTTGAGAATGCTCATTGTGGATGATAATGTCCTAAAAGACAGTGGAAAGGGACGGTAAACGTACATCGAGAGAAAGTGAACATGATGCGAGAGCTGGCTGCTTGGAGAGTGTCAGTTTGTTGAGGCCCAAGTTCCATGCCGAACCACAAGGTACCTGGACTGTCCTCTCCTGGACTTGGGAAGAAGGCTGATAACTCCCTGCCAATCGAATTATTGTTGCCTTCGAGTGGAATTCTCGTATTTATTGAAACCACTCCTTTTTCAGGAAATACACTTTTTTTGTTGAGTTGCTCATTGCTCATTTATTATTCTGTTATTCATGAACATAGTGCCAGCACCAGAGATGCATTTCAGAGTCCACGATTCCACAGATCCACGCCGTTGTTAATAAAGGCTTGCATTGTAGAACACAGTGGATGCCCCACATACTCGCAGTTCCTCGTCTATTTGCATATGACTGTTGTCAAATTTAAAATACTTGCTTGGGACCACACCCATTTTTTCGTGGAAAATGTTTTTGGCAGCATTTTTCATTTTATGGGAAAATTGCTGGAAAAAGAAAAGCGGAATGTAAATTTTGTTTTGTTTTGCTTTTGAACCACCATCAATAGTCTCAGCATCATGAGTACTTTGGCTTACGCTTGTGTCTGTCATGTATCCAGAAGTACAAAAAGGCTTTTAGTTCCCATCCCCCCACCCCCGCAAGGTCTGCACTCAAATGTGCTTCTCTCAGGCTTTCCAAGTATGAGTTGCAGTCTTGACTAAATAACGTCACACATATTCATTAAATATATTACATCATGGATGGGCAACTGGTGGCCCTCGGGCCGCAAGCGGTCCATTCTTTGAGTGGCCCCTTGATTTATTTGAAAAACAACAACTCAACAATATTACAACTTTGAGTGAGTTGACATTTGTAAAAAAATTAACTAAATTGATTCTTACACCAATATTGATTTGCTGTTCTGCTGTTTCAAGTCACCCTTGAATGGTAATTTTTATGCATGATAGCCCTTTTGTCAGAGATGTTCGCTCGGACGGTCGACAAAGGCTCGAACACAGGGACAGATCGTCTTTCTCTGCCGGCAGGAGGTGTAGTTTTCTACGAAGCCACTCTGTGTGCGCTTCTCACTGACACCTGACCTCTGCCACCTCTGCCGGCCCTTTTATTGATTGGATATGCAAATTACAAGTAATATATCAGAAAAACACTCCCATCTTCATTAACATGCCGCACCCGTGGGCGGCCCAATTGGGCCACCCCTCAGCAGAACCCCGAAGACAAAGGATTCCCATAGAACCAGCACCAACATCTATAAACTAACAGACACGTAGACATTTTAACGAGCGGTATCTCCCTGAATTAAGACGTCGGTCACCTGGCTCATGACCCTTGCTCATGATGGAGCGTACGAGCACTCCCTTCCGTCCAAGGTTAAATCTTCCTTTCCAAGTTGTCAGTTAACAGGCGCCAGTGTGTCTACTAATGAGGTTTAAATCTTTCTCTCTGAGATAAGGAGCGCATGGTCAGGTACCAGGCACTCGGGTCCTCACTGCTTCTCTGTGCTTCTAATGTGTGCAAGATGTTCCGAACACAAGCATTTCAAGGTCAATCAGGGATGTAACAAGATGAAACTTTAAAACATGGCAGCATTGTACTTTCTATTCTAAAACCTTTGCACTGGAATTAAAAAAAAATATATCACAGTGTATTGTTAATTTTTGATTGTTCAAACTCCTTTGTTGAAGGATGGATCGTTTACGACTTCACTGAGAAATGTATTCTGAAAAATGAAATATGTTGAGAGTACATATTTTGCATGTATGTACGTACACGTTTTGTCCAGATTCAAAATGGCATTTTCTTCATACGTCTGGTGTGGAAGTGTGTGGTCCAATGTAAACTGAGTCAAAATGCTTATTTTCCCCTTGATTGCACAAAGCACAAAACCAAACATATCCAACATTAAAGTTGTGCTCACTGAAAACACTTCAAAATGGAGAAAGTACTCACCACGCACACTCAAGTTTGCTCCTAGAACCCCTCTCAGTCCTTGTGTTGTTGTCAGTCCTGCTTCTGTCTCTCTTCTGTCGGTTCACAGTCAGTAATGAAGACATTATATCACTTGTCCGTCCACCATTCAGGTGTGGCCCTTGTTAATTAAGGTGGGTAATTGAATTGATTTCCTTTTGTTTTGACACGATTACAGTCTGTGGTTTCTATTTGGCTGCGACTGGCTGGCATCCAGTTCAGGGTGTACCCCGCCTTCTGCCCAAATACAACTGGGATAGGCTCCAGCACGCCCGCGACCCTTGTGAGAAAAAGTGGATTAGAAAATGGATGGGTGGATGGATGGTTTCTATTCAGTGGGCATTGCCAAGCGGTATTTTTTCTTCATGTTGACAAGCTGTAATTCATCAGTTCCTTGAGTCACTTTGAAGTGAATTGAGCACACAAAAGGTCACCACCACTGGAATCTGACAATGGGGAGAACAAGTATTTGATACGCTGCTGATATTTGAAGTTTTCCCACTGACAAAGCAGGTAGAGATCTGTAATTTGTATCAAAGGCACTCTTCAACTATCATGGGCAGAATCTAAAACAAAAATCCAGAAAATCACAGTCAATGATTTTTAAATTATTAATTTGCATTGTACTGCCATAAAATTAATGATTTAAATATATTTGATATATCAGACAAACAGAACTCAATATTTCATACAGAAACATTTGCTTGTAATTGAAGATATTTTTCCATTGTTCTTCTGCAAGTGTTTTGGCCCACTCCTCCATCCACACCTTCTGAAGAGTGTTCAGGTTAAGCAGCTGTCGCTGGGCAACGCGGACTGTGATTTTTTTGGATTTTTGTTTCAGATTCTGTCCCTCAGAGTGAAGAGTGCCTTTGATACAAATGACAGACCACCTGCTTTATAAGTGGGAAAACTTCAAAAATCAGCAGTGTATCAAATACTTGTTTTCCCCACTGTATCGTATGTGCTTTGCACGTGGAGTGCTAATAAACAGCTGGTACATGTTTATTTATGATTACTATTTGTTAATCTACCTAGCAGCAAGGAGCTGGGTGGGGTAGGTCAAGAAGGCTACTGTGGCTTTGCAACAGCTGGGTTAGGCTCCAGCACACCTGTGACCCTTGTGAGAAAAAGTGGATTCGAAAATGGGTGGGTGGATGGATGGCTTATATTCAGTGGGTATTTCCAAGCCCTATTTCTTTTTTATGTCGACAAGCTGTAATTCATCAGTTAATTGAGTCACTTTGAAGTCTATTGAGCTCACAAAAGGTCACCACCACTGGAATCGTACGTGCTTTGAACGTAGAGTCATAACATGTTTTCAAACAGCCAGTACATATTTATTTATTATGATTGTTTTTTAAATCTACCTAGCAGCAAGGAGCTGGGTGGTGTAGGTTAATGCTACTGTGGCTTTGCAAAGAGGACAAACTGGTTTGGCTCCTCTGAGTCAGTTTAGTGCCAATCACAAATGGCACATTTCCAGCCATCGATCCATTGTCAACACATCTTATCCTGAACAGGGTCATGGTGGGGTGCTGGAGCTTATCCCAGTTGACTTCAGGCAGAAGGCAGTCTCCACTCTGAACTGTTCGCTAGTCAGTTGCAGCGTACATATAGAGACAAAGAACCAATCACACCAACATCCACACCGTCACTGAGGGGGAACCAATGGTATGCTCTTCTTTATCTTTATTATATGGAATTATTTACAATATGCGGCCGGAAATAAAACACAGCTTTTTACTTGTCACATTTTTCATTGTGTTGCACCCATAATGTCAGTCTACAAAACAAAATTATCAGAATTTGCCTTATTAACTCATTTAATGCCAAAATGTAAACATACGTTTCCAAAAACCCTGTCATTTTGTGCCAAAATGTAAAAGTATGTTAGTACATAGTTCTTTTTTTTTTTTTTTTCAAAGGAGTAAGACCTTGGTCCACACATGGTGTGAGTGTGTGCGTTACACAGTGTGTAATCCGAGCAAAGTATTGTAGGTGATTTTCTTGTTTACATTTCAAACTCCATACCGTGTAGGGGCTTGTCCTCCCATGATGGTCCTTCTTCCAGCACCTCATCCTCTGTTCCCCATTGTCTGAGACATTCTCTGAGTATATCATCCATTGGAGCCTTCTCCTTGATGTATTCATGGAGCTTGGATGTTTCATCCTGGACAGTGGGTCTCACACTCACTCGTCCCCGGCCTCCTTCCTTACGGCTTGCGTACAGTCTCAGGGTGCTGGCTTTGGGATGGAACCCTCCATGCATCATGAAGTGCTTTCAGGTCTTACATCCGTGGTCTGAATCTCTTCCTATGACCACCTTATTATTCCTGCAGGGTATCAGATCACTGGCAGGGCATAGCTGTTTATTGCCCGGGTCTTATTC